CTGTCATCTGATTGCTGGCTTCATTGCCTAGTGACTCACTGACAAGAACTCAGGAAAAAGATATACCCTTGCAGTGAGTCCACTTCCACACTGCAAAAGGTTAACTGCCATTCTGCCTAGAGCAGGAGTCTCCAAAATTTTTAAAAGGGACAGTTTACTGTCCTTCATACATTAGGGGGACCGGACTGGTGTCAGTAGGAGTAAACAGAGCATCTTTGGCATTAGAGGGAGTAATAGTGCCCCATCGTGTCAGTGGGGGAAATAGTGGCCCATAGTTGGTGTCAGTGGGAGAAAGTGACCCATCTTTGGTGTCCGTGTGAGGAATAGTGCCCTGTTGATGTCAGTAACAGGAATTAGGTCCCATGGTTGGTGTCAGTGAGAGGAATAGTGTCTTGCGTCAATGGGAGGAACAGTGTCTTGCGTCAATGGGAGGAATAGTGCCCCAGGGGCCGAAGGCAACCAAAGGGCCACATTCGGGCCATAGTTTGGAGACCACTGGCCTGGAGGATGATAAATCAGGTGATATACCCTATTCCTTGTCCCTGCATACTTCCTATTCTTCATGCATCCCCTGGCCACAGCACTCTGATATCTTGTACAATGCAGGAACCAGCATTTCTACATTGTACATAAGGACATCAAGGGCCCATCACAGTCTAGTGAAAAAGAATGGAGGAGAGCTGCCACTGGAGTGGGAAATAAAGTATATCACTTCATCATCCCCTAGGCAATAGGAGCTGTTAACCTTTTCAGTGGGGGAAGTAGACAAACTGCTAAATATTTTTTTTCAAAAGCACTCCACTTTAGCTAAAACATTAAGGTCTTATCCTTCCCTCAGTCCCTGACTGGACAGTGAAAGAAGCAGCAGATTAATGAAATGTCACTCAGTGCTCTCCTCCTGCCAGCATGTCCCTTGTTAGCACAACTAACCCAATTTGCTGCTTCCCTTCTCGTGTCTCTGCTGTACAGTGGTAAGGAAGGAGCCAATACCAGGTCATTTTCATTGCTTACACTGCCTGCATTTAAAAAATGCATAATGATGTATAAATACAGAATTAAATTGTTTTTGTATCTGCCTGGAGTTCAGCCTTGAGCTGATCATATATATATATACACATATATATACATACACACATATAAATAAATAAATATATATATATATATATATATATATATATATATATATATATATATATATATATATATATACACACACACACACACACACACACACATTACGTATACATACACACATTATTATATATATATATACATACACACACACATAGATATACATACACACACACACACACACACACATACTGCTCAAAAAAAATTAAAGGAGCACTTTTGAAAACATATCAGATCTCAATGGGGAAAAATCTCATGCTGGATATCTATACTGATATGGACTGGGTAATGTGTTAGAAACATAAGGATGCCCCATCGTTTGAATTCAGTCCTCTATACTGTAGGTTGATGATTTTCATTTCCATCAAAGACACCCCAATAATCAAAGTGAAAAAATGATGCAGCAGGCGAGTCCATTTTGCTGAAATGTCATTGCAGCAATTCAAAATGGTACTCAGTAGTTTGTATGGCCCCCACATGCTTGTATGCATGCCTGACAACATTGGGGTATGCTCCTGAGACGATGGATGTGTCCTGGGGTATTTCCTCCCAGATCTGGACCAGGGCATCACTGAGCTCCTGGACAGTCTGAGGTGGAACCTGATGGCATCGGATGGACCGAAAGATGATATCCCAGAGGTGTTCTATTGAAATTAGGTCAGGCGAGCATTGAAGTCTTTCAATGGTATCAATTCGTTCATCCTCCAGGAACTGCCTACATACTCTTGCCACATGATGCCGGGCATTGTCGTGCACCAGGAGGAACCCAGGACCCACTGCACTAGTGTAGTGTCTGACAACGGGTATAAGGATTTCATCCCAATACCTAATGGCAGTCAGGGTGCCATTGTCTAGCCTGTAGAGCTCTGTGTGTCCCTCCATGGATATGCCTCCCCAGACCATCACTGACCCACCACCAAACCGGTCATGCTCAACGACGTTACAGGCTTCACGGCTTCTCCAGACCCTTTCACGTCTGTCACATGTGCTCAGGGTGAACCTACTCTCATCTGTGAAAAGCACAGGGCGCCAGTGGAGGACCTGCCAAATCTGGTGTTCAGTGGCAAATGCCAATTGAGCTCTATGGTGCCCCCGGGCAGTGAGCACAGGGTCCACTAGAGGACGTCGGGCCCTCAGGCCACCCTTATGAAGTCTGTTTCTGATTGTTTGGTCAGAGACATTCACACCAGTGGCCTGCTGGAGATCATTTTGTATGGCTCTGACAGTGCTCATCCTGTTCCTTCTTGCACAAAGGAGCAGATACCGGTCCTACTGATGGATTAAGGACCTTTTACGGCCCTACTGATGGATTAAGGACCTTTTACGGCCCTGTCCAGCTCTCCCAGAGTAACTGGCTGTCTCCTGGAATGTCCTCCATGCTCTTGAGACTGTGCTGGGAGACACAGCAAACCTTCTGGCAATGACACGTATTGATGTGCCATCCTGGAGGAGTTGGACTGCCTGTGCAACCTCTGTAGGGTCCAGGTATCGCCTCATGCTACCAGTGGTGACACCGACCGTAGCCAAATGCAAAACTAGTAAATAAAACAGAAAAGATGAGTAGGGAAAAAAAATATCAGTGGCCTCCACCTGTAAAACCATTCCTGTTTTGGGGTTGTCTCATTGTTGCCCTTTTAGGGCACCTGTTAATTTCCTTAACACCAAAGCAGCTGAAATCCATTTACAACCCCCTCTGCTACTTAACTGACCAAATCAATATCCTAGGAGGTTAACTGACTTGATGCTATACTCTGATTAAAAAGGGTTCCTTCCATTTTTTTGAGCAGTGTATATATAGACATACATAAACACACGATATTCAGTAAAGCCTTATATGATCATTGACACTCCACCACAGCCTACAATTCTACAGGCTGCAAACAGCTGATAGGAAGAGCTATTTGCATTGCTGTCACTCTGCTCTTTATCTACTTTATTATAGTGTGTTTTCATGACTATTTATGTCTTAAAAGCACAATAAAACCCAGCATGACATTGCTATGCTCTGATATGGACTATAAAGATACCAGAATACTTTGTACCCTACTCTTGGCATTAAAAGGACTGCACTGTAATGACAAAAAAAAAAAAACTAAAAAAGTTATTTATGCATTTCTCTTTGTTCTTTCCAATACCAAGATACCTTATGTGTTAGACACCTATAGGCAAAGTAGTTAATACATGTATAAAAGCACTGGTCTCCAAACTGCAGTCCTTGGCTACTAGCCTCTATCTGGCCCTTGGGGCACAATTTCTCCCACTGACACACACGGGGGGAAGGGGCACTATTCCTACCAGTAATGCCAATGATGGGGCGGCCATTCCTACCAGTAATGCCAATGATGGGGCGGCCATTCCTACCAGTAATGCCAATGATGGGGCGGCCATTCCAACCAGTAATGCCAATGATGGGGCGGCCATTCCAACCAGTAATGCCAATGATGGGGCGGCCATTCCAACCAGTAATGCCAATGATGGGGCGGCCATTCCTACCAGTAATGCCAATGATGGGGCGGCCATTCCTACCAGTAATGCCAATGATGGGGCGGCCATTCCTACCAGTAATGCCAATGATGGGGCGGCCATTCCTACCAGTAATGCCAATGATGGGGCGGCCATTCCTACCAGTAATGCCAATGATGGGGCGGCCATTCCTACCAGTAATGCCAATGATGGGGCGGCCATTCCTACCAGTAATGCCAATGATGGGGCGGCCATTCCTACCAGTAATGCCAATGATGGGGCGGCCATTCCTACCAGTAATGCCAATGATGGGGCGGCCATTCCTACCAGTAATGCCAATGATGGGGCGGCCATTCCTACCAGTAATGCCAATGATGGGGCGGCCATTCCTACCAGTAATGCCAATGATGGAGCACTATTCCTACCAGTTATGCCAATGATGGGGCGGCCATTCCTACCAGTAATGCCAATGATGGGGCGGCCATTCCTACCAGTAATGCCAATGATGGGGCGGCCATTCCTACCAGTAATGCCAATGATGGGGCGGCTATTCCTACCAGTTATGTCAATGATGGGGCGGCTATTCCTACCAGTAATGCCAATGATGGGGCGGCCATTCCTACCAGTTTTGCCAATGATGGGGCACTATTCCTACCAGTTATGCCAATGATAGGGCACTATTCCTCCTATTGACCATAAGTGCCATTTACTCAACCATCAAGCCCGTGGCATTTTTTACCCTCACTGATGCCAGACCCAGGACATATTCTATCCCCACTGGCTACAATGATAATAATCTAAGCAGGCAATATAGATTATACCCTGAAGTATTTTAGTCCAAGCTAGATCTACTTTAAAGGCAGGAGCATATTTCAGTGTGCCTGCATCACTTTGTTTTTTTGCTCTGTCCTGTGCAGCGAGATTGGAGCTGTGCTGAATTTCCAAAGCAGGGTCCATGGAACCTCAAAGCAAGGGCATCTGAATATAAGCACCAACTTGAAAAAACATGTCCCGTTCACTTGTATCTGATGTCGGAGCTCTTCTGATTGCTTGCTGTTGAGATACTAAAAGCAGACACTGACAAACAAGAGCAGTTTTACTTTATCAAAGTAATTACTGGGCTCCTCACAGTACAGAACAAACCGTGGGAATCCCAGAACTTAAAAATGAACCAAGTATTTGCCTATGATAGTTACACAGTGTTCCTTCACGCAAGCACAATGTGAATATAAACCACAATTTTCTATTAGAAAGCCTCTAATGTTCCAGTTAATAAGACAATTAAGCCCGACCTGCATGCGCTTGAAAGCAAAATTATTGGCAATCTGTATAATTTGTGTACATTAACATGTTGCACAACTTGTCTAATCCAGGCCTGAAAGATGCCCAATTACAATACCACGTACCAGGTTAATGTTGTATGTCTTGCATGAGCGATCGTCCAGGCTTTGGTTCTGTAGCTTCTCGGTAATTAGTGTCACCATGTTAGTCCTCACGTCCCCACTCCTCAGCCCCACAATCATCGATCCTCTGGTCTTAATACTGTCTGAACATTTCAGTTCTTGTTGAAGTTGAACATCTTTCTTGAAGCAAGCAGCCTAGTTCATTTCAGTGCTGTAGTTCATGGTTCTTGTCTAAAATACAAAGCAGGCCATGTTACATTACGTTGCCTGGGTACATCACTCGTATCTAATTTAGAATGCTCACTGAAAAACAGCTTTTGGTCATGCAACATAGCTAAAAGCAATGATAGCGACCAATAAAACACAGCAATAGTGTAATGAGCCAGTGTTCAAGGGATTTTACAGTCTACAAATAAACCTCATTTTAACCACTAGCCTACAGGGCACTTAAACCCCCTTCCTGCCCAGGCCAATTTCCAGCTCTCAGCTCTGTCACACTTTGAATGACAATTGTGCGGTCATGCAACACTGTACCCATATGATATTTTTATCATTTTTTGTGACAGAGCTTTATTTTGGTATTTAATATCACCTCTGGGTTTTTTATTTTTTTCTTAAACCAAAAAACACTGAAAATGTTGGAAAAAAAAAACAAGTTTCTTAGTTTTTGTTATAAAATTATGTAAATAAGTGATTTTTCTCCTTCACTGATGTGCGCTAATGAGGCTGTAGTGAGTGATGGGCACTGATAGGCGGCACTGATGGACACTGGAAGGTGGCACTGATGGACATTGACAGGAGGCACTGATGGGCACTGAAAGGCAGCACTGATATGTGGCATTGATGTGCACTGGTGGTAGGCACTGATAGTCAATGATGTGGCACTGATGGACACTGACATGTGGCACTGTTCAGCACTGACAGCTGGCACTTCTGGGGCCACACTGATCATCGGGGAACGCTGATCATCAGTGCCCTGATGATCAATTACATGCCCCTCCGCGGAATGCAGATTACCGGATCTCCTCTCGAGCTGTCAGCATGACAGCTCGAGAGGAGAGAAACGCAGATAACCGGCATTTCCCTGTTTACATGTGAACAGCTGTGATTGGACACAGCTGATCACATGACCGAGCCGACATCTTCAGCTCTTTCCATGGATCGGTGATCCGCTGTGTCTGAGGGACACAGCGCACCGCCGATCGCCGCGCATGCGCAGCGAGAATGGGACGACATCATATGACGTCCTTCCAGAACGAGAGAACCACCTTGCGCCCGTCATTGGACTATATAGCGGGCGGGAGGTGGTTAAAGAGAGGTACACATGGCCAGTGCAATACAAGACATTGGTCAATTTCTGCCATACCTCTAAACCTCAAAAACTGAACAAATCCTGTGAAAGGCACAAATACTACAAGTCTGCAGTTGCCACTATCACTTACAAATGCCGAAATTTGAATAATTGTCCCAACTATCATTCTGCAATACAGACTACATTTAAAGAAAATTTGGTGACTCAATGGTTAGGACTGCATCTCTTATCAAGCTCTACCAGGGTCATGATCTGCATGGAGTTTATATGTCTGCAATTTTTTACGAGTTTCTTCAGAGTGTCCAAGATCCTTTTTGCACCCAATAAAGAAAAATGCCCTGTTAGGAAAATTGGCTTCTATCAACATCAGCCTATAAAAACATAATTGTTATTAAGAATATAATGATACTATGATCTGAACTTTACCAGCTCAAATAAAACAAGGTCTACGTAAGCAAACACAAAGCAGTTTCTAAAGCTTGTCAAGCACATCTTTTTCCTAACCCTACCCAAAATGCCTCAGAACACAGTATTGCACATGTGCTATGTACCAACCTAAATGTATTATTCAGCATTTGAACCACTTTTAGGCAACTCCACCACCATGAAAGGATTCTGAGTGCAGGCAAAGAGCCAAATATTGATGCTCTGAATCAAAAGCCAATGTAGACTCCACTTAAGTACACCTGGATATTGCATCCAAATGTTGTAAACTAGTAATAAATACTGTCTGAGGATCTAATCTATGCCGACGATACGCAAATCTATCGCTCTACCCCTTACCTCACCCCTTCAGTCTCCGCCCGTATCACAAGCCTACTGAGCGACATATCGGATTGGATGTCACTCCACTTCTTCAAACTAAATCTTTCCAAAACTGAGCTCCTAGTTTTCCCCCCAGCCCACGCCCCCCGCCTTCTCCATCAAGACCAACAACACCATCATCAGTCCCTTTCCTCAAGCCAGGGTAATAGGTGTCATCCTAGACTCCAATCTTTCCTTCCAGCCCCAATCGCTGACAAACTCATGTAGACTTCACCTTCGCAACATCTCCAAAATACGTCCGTTCCTCACCCCGGAAACCACAAAGCAACTCATTCACTCCCTCATCATATCACGACTCGATTACTGTAACTCCCTCCTCATTGGCCTGCCTCACCGCAGGCTATCCCCACTTCAGTCTATCATGAATGCTGCAGCCAGACTCATCCACCTTACTAACCGTTCTGTATCTGCCATCCCTCTCTGCCAATCCCCCCACTGGCTTCTAATTGCCAAACGGATAAAATTCAAAAAGCTAACACTGACGTATAAAGCCGTTCATAATACTGCCCCAAACTACATCACCGATCTTGTCTCCAAATATCACCCAAACCGTACTCTCCGCTCCTCACAAGACCTCCTACTCTCCAGCTCCCTTGTCTCCTCCTCCAACGCTCTTCTCCAGGGCTTCCCCCATCCTCTGGGACTCACTACCCCAATCCATCAGACTATCACCTACTCTGCTCACCTTTAGGTGCACTCTGAAAACCTCTCTCTTCAGGGAAGCCTACCCCGCCCTCAGCTAATACTGAACTCCTCTACTCTTCCAACCACTCCATCCCCCACAGCTATCTCCTCCTGTACCACTATCCCCTCCCTCCTAGATTGTAAGCTCCAAGGAGCAGGGCCCTCGAACCCCTCGTGTATTGAATCGTATTTTTACTGTACTGTCTCCCACCATAATGTAAAGCGCTGAGCAAACTGTCGCCGCTATATAAATCCTGTATAATAATAATCTCCACTATATTTAACCAAAAAAAAAAAAAAAACTACATTGCCTGAAGTTCTACTTTAAAGCGTGAGATTGCAACATCTAGAGAAACCAGTGCACGTTCTGAAGGATCCTTCACTTGGAAGCAAAAATATGAAATCTTGCACAATAGGTATGCACAACAATTTAATAAAATGCTAGACGGAGATGGATTAAGCACATGCACATTGCAAAACCGTACATGGAGTCTGGCTGTAAACATGGTTTAATATATGGCTGAAGTCTCTCCCACTTTCTGCAGCCAAATATCTATATGTCTGTCCATAAATCATTGAATGAGAAACAATCCTGACCTGAAAAAGCTCTCTGTTTACTGCTTAAGGGAAACCAGCAGGAGTTACCAGGGACAAGGACGTTGGATCACTATGGAACGTAATTCTGATGTGACTTTCACATTTTCACTTCTTAGCTGTGAAAGTTATGGTCTACATTTTTGTAGATGTCCCACCTAGATCTCATCAGTCTTTCCTCAGGCAAAAACAGAGCCAATGAGGCGCAGAATTTTACAGTCTGCCAAGCTTACAGTATAACACTATGGAGGAGGGAGGGAGGTGGGGGTGGTGCAGAACGACCTTTCCAGTGCCAGCCTATTAAAAGGATACAGGATATGGTCTTTTAACCCTTCCAAACTATCTTATCTATGATTGGTCAAAGCATTCTAACCTGTCCAATCACACAAAGTGTTACTAAACCCACAACAGTAAAATCAGTCTGTATATGCAGTACAACATACTTGTTATACTCACTGTGGCACCTAAGGGTTAATCCTCGGCATTGTGTAAAAAGGCTGTTTGATCCTGACTTCTTTGACCCTCCCCATCTTCCATTGTCCCCTTATCTGCTGATAAGACATATGGTGTGGAGATACTCTGCACATGCTCACTGTGGTTTGTATTACTAGAGAGAATTTTTTTTTCTTGGGAGAGTGCATGCAATCAGCACAGGGTCAATCAGCTCTTTCCAGACAGAGGTCAGGGGTTTTGCATCCTCGTAGAGCAGAATGAAAACTCCACCTACAAGCTTTAACATGTGCTCTGCTGCACGCTGACAGAAGTCACAGGACTGCTCTAACTGCCAATGAGAAAAGGTATTTAGCAGTTTATATTTACTAAAATAATTGCATGTCCATATTCTGTGTACTGTGGGAGGCCAGATAAAGTGAATGCAGACAGAGGTCAGGGGTTTTGCATCCTCCTAGAGCAGAATGAAAACTCCACCTACAAGCTTTAACATGTGCTCTGCTGCACACTGACAGAAGTCACAGGACTGCTCTAACTGCCAATGAGAAAAGGTATTTAGCAGTTTATATTTACTAAAATAAATTGCATGTCCATGCTCCGTGTACTGTGGGAGGCCAGATATAGTGAATGCAGGGTCCTGGGTTTAATAACACTTTAGAAAAAGGGTCAACTGGGACTGTCTCTCATTAATTGCATTACGCTGCCCTACATACCAGCCATCTGGTCCAATAATGCACATGGACAAGTCAGTTGCAAGACTGAAATGGACATTTAGCACAACTGTAAATGAACAGATCCATGGGTACCCACTCCTAGCCTATCCCTTCCATTGGAAAGACCGTCTCTCCTTTGGAACTAAATCTGCCTCTTTCCTTCTCAGCTGTTCCTCCTTCTGGTCTCATCTATAAACCACTATAAAAAAACAAGCAAGAATGTTATACGACAGGTTATACTAAAAATGTACTTGGAGGAACAACCAATCATTTTTGTGCAGTCATTTTTCATGTTCCGTATTCTTTGCCTATATACTTTGGGCTAACAGGTGTCCCTCCTTCCCATCTCAAAACGTACAATATGGGGTAGTCTACTGAAGGTTATGCATATGCAATGCTCTGCCCAGCCAGCAAGTTAACAATTTGAACAGTGGAGCACTACATGGGTCGTCCAACTGAATCAATGAATCATAATCGGAGGTCTGTACTTTTATTTAAGAGAG